TGGAGCACCTGGGCCATCTGTTCTCATTGGAGATATTTCAGGGAGCTTTCTCAATCAATCAGTGAAGCCTTTTCCTTGCCAGCTGCTTTGGTTTTTCCCCCGCCAGTCGCCTGGGCTCTGCCACATTGTAGTCCCCAAATATCACACAGGACACTGTATTAATTATGAAGCTCTTGACCATTTGCTTGTTTCTTACTGGCTATCTCTGACTTAAGTATTTACCCCATAATTATTAATCTAAGTATTTCTCTTACTGGAGAAAGGTTCCAAACTTCTTACCCCTATCGTGGTTACATCTTGACTCCCTGTGTTTTCTCCTTCCCAGAGTTCTCCTCGACTCCTAGTCCCACCTTGGCCAACAGTGCTTTATTGACATATACACAGGACTTCCACATCAAAACCTGATTTTTTTTCTTAACCCAAAAAGAATCCATAGCCTCTCATTTCCTGTGGAAACCAAAGAATAACCTCTTCTCCAAAGTAACATTCCTTTTGACTTAAATTTTGAAGTCAAGGCATTTTCAAAATACATATGTTGAATTAATCCAACATTTATAATCAAATGTCTCTTAGCAGCTGTTGCTCCTTCCTCAACTGTCAAACAATTCAAAAACAACACAATAACGTACAGTATCCAGACTCTGTGTATTTTCCAACTTTGCATGTCTCTTTATATTACTCTACTTCCTTTTTAAGAATTTTATGTTATTATTTTAAAACCACATATTTATTTTTATGACTCTCTATGCATTCTCCTTACTCTCTCAAGCCTATGTATATTTTTAACACACTATAAACTGTTTAGAGGTTTATTTAGTTTTTTTTCTGAATCTGTCTTTACTACATATCTCTATCTTTTTCTGACCACATCAGTCTTTAAACTGCTAAGTAGCATATCTGGGACCTCCACTTTTGCTCTGATGACTGCTCTGGCCAGCCTGGTTCCCTAAGAGCCTGGCTTCATGTCAGAGGCATTGGCAAGAGCCATGTTCACCTCCACAACTCTGGGGAGCTTCTGGGTCTATGCTGTCACTGAGCAGCACACCACCTGCTGCTCATAAACCCCATTTAAGTGTTTGGTAGCAAGGCCTCTTAAAAGAGCCTTGTGGTGTTTGCTGTTAGCACTGAGTCAGGAAGCTGTCTCTTAAAGAAGCCATGCCTCTGTACTCTCTCATATATGGATTTTAGACATAGATCTGGGGGTGCCAGCCTACAATCCCATGGCCAGAGAGTCTGCCAAACAGAAACTTCATTCAATGGCTGATGGAAGTAGAGGCAGACTTCTACAGCTAAACACTGAGCTGAACTCAAGGAATCCAGTGACAGAGAGGGAGGACTGATGACCAAAGGGATTAAGACTGGGCTGGTTTAACCCCCAGAAACAGCTGACCTGACAAGGGTTAGTTCTTGAATTCCAGACTGATGGCTGAGAATCCAGCATGGGACTGATCAAGACCCCCTGAAAGTGGGTGTCAGTGAGGAGGCCTAGGTAATCTGTGGGGCCTTGGGTAGTAGATCAGTATTTATCCCGGGTATACAAATGGACTTTGGGTGCCCATCCAACAATGAGAGATGCACTCTCACCCTGGACTCTTGGGGGAGGGTCTAGGCCCTGCCCTGGATGAAATGACAGACTATGGACACCCCCATGGAGGGCCTCACCCTTCCTGGGGAAAGGAGGGGATATTGGAGGGGTTGATGGGAGGGCATGGGAGGAGGGAAAGCAAAGGGAGAGGGACCTGGAATTGACATGTGAAGCAACTTTGTTTCTAATTTAAATTTAAATTTAAAAATAAAAATTAAAAAAATGATAGAAGCTGAGAAAAAAGAGTAAAAAAAAAGAAGAAGCCATGCCTCTGCTTGCCACTAGCAAACAGCATATCCAAGAAAAAGCAGTTACCAAGAAGCTGAGTTTTAACTCCATTTTTTTGTATGCTTACAATCCTTTTTAAAGGCTTTTCAGACTTTATGGGGAAATTCTTGCCCAACATTTGGACACCATATGTAGTGCATTCCTAATTAGGCTTACTAATAAAAACTCAGACTCAGATACAGAGGTTAATGTTGAAAGATCAGAGAAGCAGAAAAAGCAGAGGAGCAGAGCAGCCAGCCACTAGAGAGACTTTCTACCTCGACTGAATGCTCAGATCAAAAGGGTGATCCTGTCTCTGTGAATCCTCACACTGAATGCTTCCTGTCTCTACAAAACCTCAGATTGAATCACCCTTTGGGGGGCTGTGTGGGGTATTTGGGGCATCCCTCCTAGAGCTCTGGAGAGGCAGCACCACAGGTGACCATTTGAAGATCTGTCCCCCAGGGTTATACCTGCTGTTCTCAAGAGAAGGAAGAGAAGTGCAGCCTGCAAATAAGATGATTTCAGAAGTGTGGTCAGTGAATGTGCAATCACTTACAAGCCATCTTTTCATCCCGTTACAAGAAATTTGATGAATTCTTCAAAGAAGAATGATATGTTTGTGAAGACATATAGCCATGTATACATGCAAAATTCAGAGCTATTTAAAGGCGTCTTCATAGAGTTGAAGTGCTACTATGTGGTAGAAACCTGGATAAAATGCAAAGTGACATCTGGGGCCACCTTATGGGAGCCCATGTTCTACCTGGTGCACTCCCAGTACCACTTTACAGACGAGTACCTGGAATGTGTGAGCAAATACACAGAGCATCTGAAGCCCTTTGGAGATGTCCCTTGAAAACTGAAGCTCCGGGTTATACGTGCATTTGTTGCAGCCTGGACTTTAGCTCAAGACTTAGCAGTTGCAAGGGATTTAGTGAGCACAACCCACCGCATGTAAGCACTGCTGAAGATAATCTACTGTTCCTACTGCCAGGATCTGATGACTGTGAATCCCTGTTACAACTACTCCTCAATCATCAAGAGAGGCTATTTGGCCAACCAAGGAGCCCCTGAGTTTGAGTGGAACAATATTATAGATGCTATGCTGATGGTGGCCGAGGCTGGAGGCCTTTCAACATTGTGTCAGTCAGTTATGGATCCCATCTATATGAAGATTTCTGATGCTCTCTTGAACATGCAGGATAATAGTGTGTACTGTTTCAGGAGGTGTTCCAAAGCTGTGAGCCCCTGAAGCCTCTCCCCGATGGATGAATTTCTCATTCCATCTCTGAAAGTGTCTTCAGTGCTCGATTCAGACCCAGAGTTTCTGTTGGAGCTGTGGTCTGCAGAAATGCTGGGTGATAGCCTTCTTCATTGGCAAGGACAAGTGATTATCCCCAAGGAACAGCTCTAAATTCAAACAACATTTCAGATTCTTAGTTTCTATATTTTAAAAATTATTTTTCATGTTGAGATATTTTTATTTTAATTTTAAATAGCTTGTTTTACATGTCAATCCCAGTTCTCTCTCCCTCCCCTCCTCCCACACCCCCCACCATCCCCCCATCCTCCCACCCTATTGCCAATTCCTTCTGCATAGGGGATATCTAGAGTCTATCATTTCACTCAGGGTAGGGTCCAGGCACTTCCCTAAGAGTCCAGGCAGAGAGAGCAACCCTCTTTGTGTTATGGACACACGATGCCTGTTAGTATTTGAGGGATAAACACTGATCCACTGCTCAGGACCCCATAGGTAACCCAGGACTCCTCATTGACTCTCACTTTCAGGGGGTCTGCCTAAGGCATTTGGAATTTTCTTTAGTATTTTCTAAATGACTAATAGTGATAATTATGGTTGTAGTGAAGGTTCAAATGAAGAAAGTGTGTCGTTATTTCATCATGCTTTTGTTATGTCTGTTTGCCTACTCAAACTTCAAGCCTTACTCGAAACAAGTCTTCATTTCGGGAAAAGGTTCTGTAGACACTGTTGGATTAAGAAGCATGATGACTCATGATATGCTGAAGAGCTTTGACTGGTCATACTTCTTTGGGTCATGATGTTTTCTCAATTATTTCAACTCTAGATATATACTCTATATATACCATCATGTGTTACATTTAAATGTTGTGTCTGACTGACAGAGAGTAAAAAACAGAAAAATCATAAAATATTAGCCATTAGCTTCATGATAGATAATATATTGGATATAATCCAGAGATTTCTTCTTGAGTGATTGTACCAACTATTTCTCTCACTTGAAGGTTTTCTTCCTGCCTACTAACCCTTGCCTAGAGCAAATCCTAGGAATGAGACTTCCTAGTATTGTTGGGCACAACACTATTTGGCCTCCACACACATTGACCAATAGAGTGACTGTAAATTGCTTTTCTCAGACAAAAAGTCACACATATATTAAGGATTCTACAAGGAAATGGAAACCTCTACGATGCAGAGAGCTATGCCCCTGCAGGATGCAACCCACAGAAGGATCCCCTCTACTGCAGGATTAGCATATGCTGCCCCATTCCCCAGGACTTACAAGCTGAGTCAGACATAGTAAAGCAATTTCTATAATTGAAGCATTTGCCAAGCTGATATGGTGACAAAGTAATTTCTGATCTATCCAGTTCTACCAAGTGAGTCCTAGTCTCAAAAACCAAACAACAAGAATAACTAAAAAAAAGGGCTGTAGTATAGTTACAGGTCAGTGGTAGAATACTTAGCTACTGTGTACAAGGCCCTGGATAACAAATACATTCCTAATAACTAAAAGAGAAAGGAGGAGGAAGCAGAAGAGAAGGGGACTTGAAGACTTGAGGTGACCACTTTCGCAGAGTTTTTGAAGCCCATCTAGGTTCTGAGGAGCCCACTTTCTTTAGGGTTGCAGCAGCCTGGTGTAAAAATGGCCAGAGGCAAAGACTTAGCTTGTCTCCAGCCTCCTGGCACACTCCAAGGGTAAGACTCTGGTCTCTATCTATTCCATGATAACCTTAGTCTCTGGTCTTTCTTCCATACAGATGTTTTTTCCATTTCAAAGAAATCAGAATCCCTGAACCAAAGGCATCACTTCCTCCAAGTTACTAGGCTCACATGCTTGCCTTTCAGTTTCCACTTCCTCCTGGCTTCCAGGCAATCACTTCATAGTCTGATGCCTACTCAGAGCAGCTCAGATATTTCATTAGAAAACAGCCTCCCCACCAGGCTCCCTGCTCCCTATAAAAGGCAGATGGAGCCTTCATAGTAGAAGAGCTAGACCAACTAGAAGACTCTAGCCTTCACTCCAGAGTCCCTGCCCTCAAAATGAAGATCTCCGCCATGCTTCTGTGTCTGTTGCTCATAGCTGTCACTGTCAGCCCAGGAGAGCTTGCTGAGCCAGGTAAGGCTTCTTTCTTTCCTAAAGTAATGGTTTAGCGGACACTAACATCTAAGCGCAAGGCATGGACTGCAGTTTTAAGATGGAGTGACTAAGACTATGGGAGAAGTTACAAAGAGCCATTGTGTCACAGCTAGCCAGAGAGCTACAACCAAGAGCTCAGACCTCTGAGGCCAGGCCCTGAGATGTCTCACGACACCAACCCTGGGACAAGATGCTGCATGCAGCCACTACAGATACTGCCCTAGCCTTGTTGGGAGAGGTGGCCCAGAAGTGGCCCTGTAGGTGAGAAGGACATCTCAAGCAATAGAGGTGTAACAGGAATTAAAGCTGGGGTCATGGTCCAGAGTGACTTCCAGAACAGCAGCCACATGTGGATACTGCAGGAACTTCTTATCTTAAAAGTAGGTTGACTCTAAGCCTACAGCAGCAAGGTGATAGTCAGCAAGTTCTCAGAGCTTATTTTCCTGTGTCAGAAATATGGTATCAGTCAATGAGATTTCATTGTAAACAGGCATCAATGAAGAAGGCAGTAGTTCAACATAGAACATCAATTCCTACATCATATTCTGTCCCTAGAATCTAGGTAGAGCCCAGCCTTCACCTTCCCTTGCAAGAGCACCCTGTAATATGCCCTGATCTTCTCTTTCAGATGAGTCACCCATTCCAAATACCTGCTGCTTTTCTGTAATCTCGAGGAAGCTCCCCTTTCTGAGGCTGCAGAGCTACAGCAAAACCAGCACCCAATGTGCCATGGCAGCTGTGATGTAAGTGATTCCTGCCCAGAACACCCAGCCAAAGGTTCCAGGGAGGGTGGTCAGGACACACAGGCAAATGAAACAAACACATTTAGCCTCTTATCTGAATGGCTCCTTACTGACAGAGGGAAACTGACTGGAGGAAAGGGGGTCTGTAATTTTCCAGGAGTTTGGAGGGGTTTTCCCCAGTTCCTTTACCCAGTAGATAAAACAGCTTCAACTTGTACAATAAGATCAGGGATTCCTCCTCCTTCTCCATTCTTCCTCTTCCCCCCACCCCTGCACAGAAGCTCCTTTATCTATGGATCAAACGTGGATGATATCTGGGGATCCCAACAATAGATGAGTTCTGGGGACCTATGGAGCACTGAGCACTACTTTTAAGCATGATATCTTTCCACAGATTCGAGACCAAGCGGGGTAGACAGGTCTGTGTGGACCCCACTCAGAAGTGGGTCCAAGATTACATGAAGCTCCTGGACCAGAAGTCTCAAACTCTGCAGGCATAAGCCTTCACACCTGGGCTGAGAGACAGTCAGAGCTTGAAGTTCTTCCCTAACTTCTCCAGGCATGGATTTGTTACAAGAAGATGGTGTCTGGTTTGGGTGTTCCCTCATCCTTGTCTCTTACCTGAAATAATTCTGATTATTTCAGAATTATTCAGAATTCATCCTATCTGAATACCTGAAATAAAAGCTCATACAGATTTGCAAATGGAAATGTTTATTCAAATCAAAGTGATGGGAAGATAAGATCACTATCAGAGAGCAGCAGGCCACATGAGTGAAGATTTTCGAGTGTTCCCATTTATTGTCTGGGGTTTCATTTTACGGGGTTCAAGGGAAGGAGCTTGGTTCCTAGAAATATAATTTGGGTGGTTCTCTATTTTGGTGGACAGGCTTAGGTTACATAAGTCTTTAGTCACTGCTCATGTTCCTTCCCAGAATGCAGTTGTTTTTATCATAAGCATGCACAGTTGTGCATAAGCATAGAATGGTAAATAGATTTGCTCTGGAAGTTCACTTGAGGACACATTTTTGCCTCATTGAACATGCACTGCAAACTTGTCTAGGCTCAATCAGCCCCAAACTGTGTTCCAGATTGTGTTTGACTAAAAACAAAGCTTATCAAGGGGTTATTAAGCAATTTATTTCAGCTTTTTGCACGTGGGGGTGATAGGTTGCTAAACACTTCGGATAGGGGTGTGTACATAGCCTAAACCAAGTAGAGTCCAGGTTGGTAAGGTATTTCCTATGCCTGCTTGCCTTAACTTCCCCCATGAAAAACTTTTATTCCTAATTCTTGAGAGATATGTCCTCTGTGTCTGAAACATATACATGTAACACACAGTAGGGACATTATTAGTATTCAGTCATGATTCCCTAGAAAAACAGAGTCAACAGAATGAATACATTTTAAAAGAGAATACACTAACTTGGCTTACACTAGTTGGTCAGAGCAGTCCAGCAGTCATCTCTGTGCTTCTGTAGTTCCAATCTGATACCAAAGCCTGGAGAAACACTGGTCTTCATTCTATGGTGGAAACTCAAAATGCTAGTTCTAATATCAGTAAAGGAATTAACATGTTCTGCAATAGTAGATGCAGAATTTGCCAATGAGAATGAAGGCCAAGTAAGAAAAAAAGTCCCCTTATTCCATATCCGTTTATAGGGCAGCCACTGCCACAAAGTACTTAGGAAGAGTCTTCCGATATCAATCAGAGCACTGAAAACAATTCCCACAGACATGTCCACAGGCCAATCTGATATAGACACCCTTCATTGAGGTTCCCCTCTTAGGTCATTCTAGGGTGCATCAAGTTGGCAGTCAAAGATATCACAATATCTAAAGTTAAAATTACCAAGAAACACATCACAGCCTAAAGAAGTAAAGGTATCTATAAAGGAAATCAGTCTTAATTAACCAAAACTCCTCTGTATGGTTCTCTGTCTTTGCTAGATTTATAGCAGGCCCCAAACCTTGGTACAACTGACACCTTGTTAGGAGCCCCAGTCAGGCCTTGAGAGCAAGTAAGTGGTAACTCCTGACAAAACAGGAACAGAGACCCAGCCCATCTGCCAAAGCAAGCACAAAGGCTAAGTCACTGGGTTCCCAAGAAGTCTCTAAGTAAAAGTCCCTGAGTACACTAACATTGCATTTTGGCTTCTGTAGTTCTGCTTCTTGCTAACTGAAATATGCCCACCCACAATGTCAGTTTTGTGCATAAAAGATAAAGACCAGTGAGGCTTAGAGTGCATGACTTGGACAAGCTCCCAGTGCAGTCATCAGTCAGCGATAAAGACTTTCTTTTCAGCTTTGAGACTTTCAGTGTGGTCAGGTAGTGGTAGTGCAGGCCTTTAATCCCAGCACTTGGGAGGCAGAGATGGGCAGATCTCTGAGTTTGCGACCAGCCTGGTCTACAGAACAAGTTCCAGGACAGCCAGGGCTACACATAGAAACCCAACTTTAAAAAAATGACTTTTAAAAAAGATTGTCTTTTTGTGACTGGGTGACCTCACTAAGGATGGTTTCTTCTAGTTCCATCCATTTGCCTGCGAATTTCAAGATTCCATTGTTTTTTTTTTCTGCTGAGTAGTACTCCATTATGTAAATGTGCCACATTTTCTTTACCCACTCTTCAGTTGAGGAGCATCTAGATTGCTTCCAGGTCCTTGTTATTACAAATAATACTTCTATGAACATAGTTGAACAGATTTCTTTGTTATATGAATGTGCACCTGTTGGGTATATGCCTAAGAGTGGAATTGCTGGATCTTGTGGTAGACTGATTACCATTTTCCTGAGGAACTGCCATACTGATTTTCAAAGTGGCTGTATGACTTTGCACTCCCATCTGCAGTGGAGAGCGTTCTTCTTTCTCCACATCCTCTCCAGCATAAACTGTCATTGGTGTTTTTGATTTTAGCTGTTCTTACAGGAGCAAGATGGTATCTCAGAGTTGTTTTACATTAAGCACTTCCTTAAGTGTCTTTCAGCCATTTTAGATTACTCTATTGAGAATTCTCAGTTTAGTTCTATACCCCCACTTTTTAATTGGATTATTTGGTGCTTTGGTGACTAGTTTCTTGAGTTCATTGTATATTTTGGAAATAATCCCTCTGTTGGATGTGGGGTTGGTACTCACTCATATACGGATTTTAGACATAGAGCAAAGGATTACCAGCCTACAATCCACACCACCAGAGAAGCTAGGAAATAAGGAAGACCGTAAGTGAAACATATATGGTCCCATGGAGAAGGGGAAAGTGACAAGATCTCCTGAGCAAATTGGGAGCATGGGGGAAGGGAGAGAGAGTTAAGAGAACGATAAGGGGAGAAGAGGAGGGGAGAGGAAGATATGAGGGAGCAGGAAGATTGAGTCAGGAGAAGAATAGAGGAGAGCAAGAAAAGAGATACCATAATAGAGAGAGCCATTATAGGTTTACAGAGAAATCTGGCACCAGAGAAATGTCCAGAGGTCTACAAGGATGACACCAACTAACAATCTAAGCAATAGTGGAGAGGCTACCTAAAATGTCCTTCCCCTATAATGAGATTAATAGCTACCTTATATGCCATCCTAGAGCCTTCATCCAGTAGCTGATGGAAGCAGAAACAGACACACACAGCTAAACACTGAGCCGAATTCCTTGAATCCAGTTGCAGAGAAGGAGGAGTGATGCGCAAAGGGGTCAAGACCAGGCTGAAGAAACCCACAGAAACAGCTTGCCTGAACAACAGGGAGCTCATAGGCCCTACACTGATAGCTGGGAAATCAGCATAGGGCCAACCCAGACCCTCTGATCTGGGTAATCTATGGGTCCTCTGGTAGTAGATCAGTATTTATCCCTAGTATACGAATGAAATTTGAGAGCCCATTCCACGTAGAGGGATACTCTCTCAGCCTAGATACACGGGGGAGGGCCTAGGCCCTACTCCAAATGATATGACAGACTTTAAAGATCCCCCATGGAAGGCCTCACCCTCCCTGGGGAGCAGAAAGATATAGGTTAGTGGGTCAGTGGGAGGACATGGGAGGAGGAACAAGAACAAGCTTGTTTCTAAATTTAAAAGAAGAGACATAAAAACATTGTCAGTATGGTGATTTCTTATAGACTACCTTGAAGCAGTTTCGTCTCATCTTGACACAAGCTTAAGTCATTTGGGAAGAAGAAACCTTAGCTGAGATTTTCCTGTGGGGCATTTGATTGATGACTGATGTGGGAGGGCTCAGCTCACTATGGATGTGACAACCCCTGGGCTGGTGATTTTGTGTGCTATAAGGAAACAGGCAGAGCAAACCAAGTAGAGTAAGTCCATAAACAGCACTCCTCCATGGTCTCTGCATCAGCTCCTGCTTCAGGTTCCTGCTCTGACTTCCATTGGTGATGGATTGTTACCTAAAAAAGTAAGATAGAAGAAAACCTTTCCTCACCAAGTTGCTTTTGGTCATGGTGTTTTAAAAACCCCAAAGTAAGACAGTCACCATCGTCCTTAATCAGAATGACTCCATGCTTTGTCCCTGAGTCACGGAATCTTTTTCAAACAAAAACATTTGGCTCAAGTAAGGTCTGAAATCAGAGTAGGCAAACAGATATAATTAAAGTATGATGAAATAAGAACACAGCATCTTCATTTGGATCTTCACTAAATCCAAAATTGGTGGTATGCTTGTCAATTAGAAATTATTAAAGAAAATTACAAATGCCTTGGGCAATTTTCAAAGCATCTAAACATAAAAAAATTAAGAAATGGAAAAGCTGAGAATTATAGAGTCTGTCAGAAGGGTTCCTTGAGGTACTCAGCTGTCACTGTGGTTGAAAATAAACATGCCTCAGCATTTCTGAAGTCCAGGAGGACATGTCTCTAGCAGAAGTCGGTACAAATTTGAGGTAAGAAACAGAACTAAATGGTCCTTACAAATCATAGAACAGAGATTGCTAGACCTACCTGATAGAGTCTTTTCCAGGTAGAAGGGGTTCTTGTTCAATGTCTTCTCCCCATTGTGAAATCACCTTCTTCTCCCTTTTATTCTTTTAGCTGCCCCTGTTCTGGGAGTTATTTGTAGAAACACTGTAACCAATTCGGAGTTTTACTTGCCAGGCTTAAGAGTGCATTGCAGCATTATGTTTTTCTTTTATAGACGTGCCTCAGACACATTTTCTTACTTAATGTTTATAGAATGCTTAGTATTTTTTGAAGTAGATAGTAGATTTTTGCTGAAAAGGAGTAGATATTAGATTTAGAAGAACTGACAGGAATTTCTTAAAGTGCTAACATATTTAGCTGGTTTTGACTGTTGATGCCATCGAACTATTTAAGCATCAACTTGGAAGACTGAGATAGAGACTCTATAAAAGTGAGAAACCAACAGTTTCCATTATGTTACTAGGAGCCATTTTGAGTCTGCAGCCAAGTTAAGTTTCTGTTTGCCACAAAACTTGAGTCACTGCTAGGCCGCACCCTATCCCAGTAACCTTAAAAAAAAACCATAAAATGTACTATAAACCAACTGCCCAGAGCCACCAGTTCTCAGGAATGCATGTGTGTGTGTGTGTGTGTGTGTGTGTGTGTGTGTGTGTATACATATACATTTATGTGTATATATATGATATCATATATAGATAGATTATTGATAGATAAATAGATGGTAGATAGATAGATAGATAGATAGATAGATAGATAGATAGATAGATATCAAAAACGATCATTCC